ATGTTGTTGCAAGTACTACTCAACTTTCTAAACAAAGTAGTACTGATATTACTGAACAAACAATTATCTCTGAATCTGAAACTGATGAATCTCTTAGTACCTTACTTGCACAAAGTCATACTGAAGCATCTCAAATTTTTGAAGAGATGGAAATTACATCTTCTACAAGTATGAGTATAAGTGAAACAGGTGAAGGTGAATCTTCTAAAAAGAGAAAAGGAAAAGAAAAGGCAACAGAAATTGAGCCTGAAGAAGAAGATGATAATGATAATTCAAAATCTAAAAAAATAAAATCTTCAAAAGATTTGTCTAAAATAACTGAATTACAACATGATGATGATGAGGAATCTGAACCTGAAAGTGAACATGGTGATGAAGATTTAGAGTTATTAGTAATTCAAAAAGAAGACAAACATAAAAGAGTTACAATAAGAGAATTTGTGGTTTATAGATGTATGCTTAAAGATACAAATAGAACAAAAAGTATCTTACATTTATCAGGAAGATTATTCTAACAATATATAGTAGATCAATATGTAAAATAGGAATCAAATAATTTAAGATGGCAAAAGCAACATCAGAAGGAAATGAGAGAGAAATTATATCAAGGTTTAAGTGATATGATTTCTAATGAAGATGCCAATCTCAATGAAATTGGTAAAAGAATAATTTTGTCATCAAATTTTACTGGATCTCCAAGATATTTACAACAATGGTATCAAGATGCTATAGCAATTGTTAGAGAGTTTGGAAAACCTGATTTATTTATTACAGTTACATGTAATCCTAATTGGTCTGAAATTACTGATGAGTTATTATATAATCAAACTCCATCTGATAGACCTGATTTAATTGCAAGAATTTTTAGATTAAAATTAAATGCAATAACACATGACTTATTTACCAAAGGAATTTTGGGAAAAGTTATTGCTCAAATACATGTAATTGAATTTCAAAAAAGAGGATTGCCACATGCTCATATGTTAATAGTATTGGCAACTAAGGATAAACCACATAATCCTGAAGATTTTGATGAGATTGTATCAGCTGAATTACCAGATGAAAAACAAAATCCAAAATTATTTGAAATAGTAAGCAGACATATGATTCATGGACCCTGTGGAAAAATAAATCCTTCATCTCCATGTATGGTTGAAGGAGAATGTAGTAAATATTATCCAAGAGATTTTACTACTACAACAACTACAAATAAAAATAGTTATCCTGTTTATAGAAGGAGAGATAATGGAAGATTTATTAAAAAAAGAGGTATTTCAATTAATATTGACAATAGATGGGTTGTTCCTTATAATCCATATTTAAGTCAAAAATATAGTTGTCATATTAATGTAGAGATATGCTCAAGTATAAAATCTATTAAATATTTTATAAATATGTTTATAAAGAACAGGATAGAGTTTTAATTTCAATTCAAAATCCACAAAATGAAATTAAAAAATATTTGAATGCAAGATATGTTTCTGCTGCTGAAGGAATTTGGAGATTATTTAATTTTGGTTTACAAAAAAGATCTCATACTGTTGAAAGGCTTCCTGTTCATTTGCCTAATCAACAAACTGTAACTTTTGATGAATCTGGTAAATTATCATCTGTACTTCAAAGAAATATACATACAAAATTGACAAGATATTTTGAACTATGTGCAAATAATCCTGATGATGAAGAGATTCAACAATTAAAATATGCTGATGTTCCAAAAAAATATATTTGGAATAAAATTAAAAATAACTGGCAAAAAAAAAAACAGCGTAGTGATAAAGTAGTATCTAGATTAAATTTTGTTAATCCAAAAGATGAAGAAAGATATTACTTGAGAGCACTATTAAATATCTGTGGTGGAATAAGATCATATGATGATCTAAAAACATATGAAGATATTACTTTTAATACATTTAAAGAATCTGCTTTTTATGCAGGTTTAGTTGATAGTGATAATGAGAGTGATGCTTGCCTTGCTGAAGCAATTACTTATAAAATGCCATATCAACTCAGACAATTATTTGCTTCAATTTTAGTTTACTGTCAACCTGCAACAATAAAAACTCTTTGGGAAAAATATAAAGATCATTTAATTGAAGATTTTATTAGAAAAGGAGATAATTTAGATTTAGCAATTACAAAAGCATTGGCCCAAATTGAAAATTATTTAATTCAAAATAATTTAGCTTTATCCAATTATCCAGACCTTCCAATATCTGATTATACTTTACTTGAAAATAATCAGCAACCCAATTTAATTACTGAAGAATTAAATTATAATCAAGATGAAATTAATCAAACTTTATCAAATCTTTATAAATTAAATAGTGATCAGAAATTAATTTTTGATACTGTAATTAAATCAATTAGTGGTGAAATTAATCAAAAATTATTTTTTGTTGATGGACCTGGAGGAACTGGAAAAACATATTTATATAATATGATCTTAGCTCATATAAGATCATCAAATGGAATTGCAATTGCTGTAGCATCATCAGGAATTGCTGCTTTATTAATGAGTGGTGGAAGAACTGCTCATTCAAGATTTAAAATTCCATTAAAAATATCTGAAAATACAACTTTAAATATTGAAAAGCAATCTGATTTGGCTAAATTAATTCAGGATGCTAAAGCAATATTATGGGATGAAGCTCCAATGCTAAATAAATTATTATATGAAGCAGTTGACAGAACTTTTAGAGATATTACTGGAGTTGATGAACCATTTGGAAGAAAAATAATGATTCTTGGTGGTGACTTTAGACAAATACTTCCTGTTATTGTTAGAGGAACTAGAGAAAAAATTGTTGATTCATGTTTAAAATTTTCTGAACTTTGGAAACATTTTCAAACAATGAAATTAACAATTAATATGAGAGTTCAACAACAAAATGATCCTGAACAAAAAAATTTTGTTGATTTTCTGTTACAAGTTGGGGAAGGAAAAATACCTGTTTATTCTGATATTGGTGAAGATATTATAAAATTACCTGATACTATTGTTTTAGATAGTGAAAATATTGATGATTTAATATCTGAGATCTTTAATGATATTAAATCTAATTACAAAAACAAAGATTATCTTAGAGACAGAGCAATTCTAACATCAAAAAATATTGATGTTGAACAGATTAATCACCAAATATTAGATAAAATATCTGATGATGAGGATGAGGAAGGAATTGAATATTTATCAGCAGATCTGTTGAGGATGAAGAACAAGTTGATCAGAGTCTTTATCCAGTTGAATTCTTAAATACACTAACACCAAGTGGAATGCCACCTCATCAACTAATATTAAAAAAGAATGCTCCAATTATTCTTTTAAGAAATCTTAATCCAACTGAAGGATTAGTTAATGGTACAAGATTAATAGTTAAGGAGTGTTACCATTATTTAATTGAAGCTGAAATATTAACAGGAATAAATCAAGGAAGTAGAGTCTTTATACCAAGAATAAGATTATCTCCAAGTGATACTGACCTTCCATTTCAATTAGTAAGGAAGCAATTTCCAATTAAATTATCTTTTGCAATGACTATAAATAAAGCTCAAGGTCAAACAATTCCAATTATGGGTTTATATTTGCCAAAATCTGTTTTTACACATGGGCAATTATATGTAGCTTTATCAAGAGTCCAATCAAAAGATAATATTAAAGTATTAGTTAACAATGGTCATGTTGAAGGAAAAGATGGTGTATATACTAAAAATATTGTATATAAAGAAGTTTTTTCTAAATAATTTGTATATAGTTTTAAAAGTATTCTTTATTTAATTTGTATATAATATTGAATTAATTTATAGATAATTTGTATATAATTTGTATATAATTTGTATATAGTTTAAAAGTAATTATTATTTAATTAATTGTATATATTTAAAAATATTATAATTATAAAAAAATAAAAGTATTATATTAAATTTTAACCTCTTAATAATATTTTTTATCAGTATAACTATGATCATTTCCATTTGTATATATATTTGTACATGTGTATATAATTGTATTGGTCTTTGTCTTTGCCTGTGACCTGCTACATTTCTTTTTTGACTAAAACAGTGTAGATTTTCGTCCAAAAATTTTATATTATCATATCAGTACTATCTTGAGAAGTACTGCATTGCGCACTCAGATTTATCTGCGCTTGCCCCCCGAAAATTTTTTATCATATTTGGGTTGTATTTATTTATTTTTTGTTTTTTTTTCGTATAGGGTCATATCATGTGAAATTGTTTTCTTGAAATAGTAAAAGATTCAATTAATAGGCTTCTCGAGATCGATCTGCATATATTGACGGTGATTTTTTCCTAAGCCTTAAATATCTATCTACGTATTTTTTTCTAATTAGTTGTATTTTCTGTATATCTATATATAAAATTAAAACACAAACGTCTGCAACCATGTGGTTTTGCTCGAATTATTGTATAACTCAGTTGAACATAAATTCTTGTAAGGTTACTACTATTACTATGAAAAATTCGATTATGACTTGTTTGGCTTGTCAGTATCGGCCGAATTATAGTAAAAAGCCTCCAAACATTCAAATACTCTGTAAGCAGTGTTTGAAATTAGTGTTCTCAGAGTTCT